AAAAAAAAAAAAAAAAAAGAAAGAAATAGTTTCCGTTCTCCAACGGGCTGGAAAACGGGCTGGACGTTGCACTTACGATTGAGAGAGGCGGAAAATATTAGGACGACGAGGAATACGAATAGATGGTTTCTCATCGTTGTTCTGGATGGAGATCGAGATCCGATGAGGTGATGTTGAGCCGAGCACGGGATCCGGTCCAACACTGAATAACCCCAGGTACCCGACGTCTGATTTTATACCTTGCGCCTCGGCCAGTTACGGGGGCTGTGCAATCCAACCCCCCGGTCGGCTTCTCAACCCTCTCTTTTCGCATTCTCCGTACGCCCAGCACGCCCCGATCGGTGATGGTGATTCGATCCCCCGTTTTCTTCATCCTGCTGCTATTTTCGATGCTGTGCATGGGAGAGAGAGGAGGGTGATCTTGGTTTATCTTCGTTAATCGCGGCCGAGGGTGGGCCGTTTTTTATTTAGGATTCGACGAGTTTGAAAGAGAAGAGAGGAAACGACGAAATGTGATTTCGAACGATTTCTGCGAGAGAGGATGGGGAGGATCGATCGGGCTAAGTTGATAATCGATTATCTTTTTCATTCGTTTAATGATAGTGGATAATAGATCGAAGGATAAGCAGTTTGATTTCTGTTTCAAGATTGGAAGAGAGAGAGAGAGAGGTGTGACAGGGGTGTTTTGGAAAATTAAATAATGGATATATTGAAATAATAAAGGTGATTAAAAGAGAGTTAAATTATAGTGTTTTAATTTGCGAGTTGAAATTTGACAATAAAAAAAGTGGGATGGAAGGAATATTTAATTGGAAAATCAAATTTTCTTCTCTTGGAATTTTTGTATTTAATCGTGCTGGTAGTACGAAGGTATTTCATATTTGAGCATGGAGGTATTAAATAGATATAAGTAGCTTATTGTAATTGATATTAATACAAATATTATAGTTTCTTTATAATATTATAGAATCTATTCACTCAAAGTGAAAGAAGAAATAAAATATATATATATATAACTATATATAGTTACTATATTACTAGTAAATAAAATTCTATAATATAAAATGATTGGAAAAAAAATGGAATGTCGCTTTAATTAGCCTTTAGTGGCTTAATATTCTGAATCGAGGTATTTGATTTAAATTAAATTAATTTTTTAGAGAATATACCAGTTTCGAAGGATTTTCTGAGATTTTCTGAGATTTTAGGGTTGGGTGTGGAATATCGAGGAAGAAAAAATGAGATTTATAATAGAATTTTGATGACTAAAAGTTTGAAAAGAATAAGGAAAATATAAGATTTCTCATTATATACATTTTTATATATATATTTGTACTTAATTTTTATTTCTCTAAAATATTTATTACGAGAAGATATAATTCATAATAAACAGAATAAATTGAACCGCATTTGAAGATAGGAAATTCGAGATAAATTTTCAGTTGATAGAAGGAAGAACGTTTACTTTTTGCTATCACTTGATCGGAATCATATTCCACGGAATACAAATGTAAATATTGAGAGATATAAGAAAAATTTTTCATACATTGGAACGATATTTTAAATCATTGAATCATGAAAATTCTGTATGATCTCCTAACCAAAATATTTTATACATCCCTAACAAAATTTTTTTCTCTTAAAGTAAATCTTATAAACGTTACCAATTGTTATAATTAAAACATTTCCATGAATGATATTATTTGTACTATATATTCATGTATATCTTTTTAAAAAAGAATTTTTAATTTTACAAATTATTAAATATTGTTAAAGAAAACAAAATTTTCATGATAAAATTTCATATTCTAATCCTTGTTTATTTCATTATGATAATAGAACAGTTAGAATATCTTTATTGTAGATTCCTTTTTCTTAATTTACACGAAAATCCATTTTCCATTTTCATTATTTTACATAATTGTGTCGAATTATGACTAAACTGAATTAATTTCATATAAAACATTGTTTCTCTCGTTGTTTGTCATAAATTTTAATAATCTGTATTAAAATATTATCATCGAATTCTAGAAAAATCAACATGAAACCGTCCTAATTCACACAAACTTTTTCAAATATTAAATTCATTTCGTTTCGAGTATCCTCATATCTTTCAAATTCAAACTCATAAAAAAATTGTGCGAGTATCATGAAGATTGTTGCATATTTAACACTAGTTTGAGCTCGATAATATTTCTTTTCCCTTAATATAGCTTTTGATGATCGAATTTGGAAATTTAAAGATACTTATGCTAATTTCAAACTTTGTAATAACATTTCATATGCACCATTCTGATAGTAAGAAACCAAGTCCCTGGACGTCAATTCAAACGATTTAAATTGCAATCTGGAAATCTAATCTTCGTAGTTGAATTAAAAATCAATTTTCTTACTATTAAAAAATTAAAAAAAAAAAAAAATTGCGAAAATGAATCTACTATGAATTTTCAGTATTCTCAATTAATTATTATTGATCACTTCTATAATTTATATAAAATTAATGTTGCATGTATCGATGAAGATTCCTTTCAATTTAGATAAATCTTTGATTAAAGATTAAAAGTGATCATTCTCATAAATTCTTGAATTTTGTGAAATACATAATGATTTTAAATTTGAATTCAAAATTAATCTGAATACATCTCTAGCAAAATTTTTTTCTTAAATTCTTGGATTCTTGTCATTCAATTTGATAGAATCTCTGGTTACGCAAAAAGAAAATCTTTTCTTTCCTTCCCTATGGATCCCAAATTTTCATCGTAACGATATAAATATACAAACATTTTACAAGAAATATTAACACAAATAACAAAAATTCTTATCTTTATCATTCGTGATGTAGTGAAAATAATCAATCAGAGAACTAAAAGGGAAAGGAAAAACGTATAACAGATTATATAGGACGACAACGAGAGTGGGAATCGAATTAAAGTTAAAACCGCTTTAATTGAGGCAACCGGCTATTACATATTTAAAATTTGTGGCCGCGATTTCCATAACGCGACGAGTTGAATTAGCTATATCTGTCCGTTCGTGACGTGTACAGTGTCGTTTTTATTTTTTGGAGCAATTAAACCGCAGTCATTCTCGTGCACAATGGTGTTTCCCATTACGCGTTAGGTAACGGGCAAACAATTTTACGAATTATTTCGATATCGGATCAAATTCACTCGTTTTCAATTTTCCCGCTGTTTAAAA